GACCAGCTAAGAACTCCCTGCCCTCTTCCTTCAGAACACATTGCTAGAACTACTGACATTTTCTCCTGAACACAACTGTATTTTTGAAAATCCCATCTTATGTATAAAGCACTAAACTGCATTAGTTCATCACAGCCGTAACTGTAACTTACAATTTTCACATAAGCTTTTCCTCTAAACTAAGATATGACAATAATATCTTCACTGTTTTCTGCATGTGCTTTAAACTTGCATCATTGTGCTCTACTGTATAAACTATTTAGCTGGTTTGCTCTGGGCCATGAGAAAACGTTTTTTCCCCAGTTTAAACCATGCTTTTTTTGCTAAACGAGCCTGCTGTTGGAATACAGTTTTCAAAGTTACTGTGCTGAATGACCAATTAAGGCATTAATCTCTGAAAGAAAGAGAATCATGTTTAACAATATTTTTTTTAAAGTCTATTACCTGCTTTTATTAAACTACACCTTTCTCATTATGCTATCATTTATCTTCTGCTGGGATGTCAAGAAAATAAGTCTCTTCAGTTTCACTTTCATTTTTACTGCTGTTTTCTCAGCTTTGTGAATGAACACCCCTTGGAAACAGAAAAGTCAGAAAAATTTCAACTCCAAGATTCACTCTTTTTTTAAAATTACCACACATTTTCTGTTAATACTAAACCTGGATTGCCTTTTTCTCTTAACTAACTTAGTTTTGAGAGCATTCTTTAAATTTGCAGAGATGTTACAGGCTCTGCTAAAATGTCACTGAAGTAGAATGATGCTTTTATTCCATTGGTTTTCACAGCCAAATAACGTAAAACTACTGACTGAGTGCTCTCTCACTGAAGAAAAACATCTTCAAAAATCATGAAGTGCACTGTCCAATCTTGTGCAGGTGGGTATCTCTCATTCAACATCTCCATACACATTCATACTTAGTACATGCTACATACATGCAGTGCATTAACATGAACTAAACTAGCATATTTCCAAACTTGCACAGACTCTGAGTTCTATTATTCAAATTTTAAAAAAAAAAAATAAAAATAAATTTAAAAAATCCAGAAGCCATGGAAACAAAAGTAAGTCAAAAAGCCTCAGTGGCTATGGATCAAAAAGAAGTGGCCATTGGACTTACTCTAGTTAAAAGAAGAAAATGCATAAAAACAATATACTACACTCAGTCCAGCTCCCCAAAAATACCAGCAGAAAGCTCTGGCTGCAATGGGGTACTTTTGTCCCTGCAAATGTAAAGACAAAGAGCCAAGCCACAAGGCTGGCTCTTAGCTTTGTCTTTCACTGACATACTCATACTTCCAGAACATATTTTGTCAAACTATGTTGTATAATGTACTGCCATGTTTGAAAACACAGGACAATGAAATGGTGCCAGGTAATAAGTCCACAGCTGAGTGTTGCAGGGAAAAATCTCTGAAATAATGGCATCAATCAGGCAGCATACACCTCTCGATTTACTTCTATACTGCAAGGATTTTGAGGTCAAAGTAAAATAAGTATCCAGATTTATGTGTTAGTCATAGGATTTCATTCATGAACTACATTCAAATGATTTTCAAGCACTTCCCAACCACATAGATTAGTAACACAATAACGTATCCAATTCTGAACTGGAGAATGAGAAATAATTAATACAAATAATGCTGCCAGTTCAGCATGGACAGGTTATGCCCAAGAATATTACTGCTCTTGCAAGGCTGAATACCCTCTCTGCAGTACTTAGGAATTGCTGCTCTTTACTCATGACTACTAATTAAGAAACAGATGTAAAGAGAATTTCCAGAAGATATACTCAGGAAGGTTCCAGTAAAAATAAACTAATAAACTTTATTTTATAAAGTAAAGAACTAAAAGTAGAATGTTTATTGCTGGTCTAAAAATGCAGATCACAGAATGAATCAACAGGAAATCTGATGGATATTGCTTCACCTCAGGTTTACACACATTGGCAAGACAACATAGGTAAGCTTATGCAACCACAGTTCAAAAATCTCAAGATTTAAGTCTACAAGTTTGTCTAGTCCAGAATTTAGCATAATGGTTAAGTCCCTGTACTGTAATAACTACAAAAAATAGAGAGCAAACTTCAGGAGAATACTCAATATTTTGGAATTATCCTTAGTAATGCAAAGTCTTATTTGTAACTAATAGAGAACCTCATATTCTGGAAGACTATCTCAGAAATTGATCCAAAACAGACTTTATAAAGTTTCTAGACACGATTTTTCCAATACAAGCTTTTCTGTAATACACTTTGGATTTCAATATGCAATGGAAAAGTTCCTTCCAAGAATACTGCCAACAAATCACGCATATAAGCTTGTGCTTAAAAATGAACTGCAATAATGCACCAAAAATATAAAAGTTGTAATACATCTCTCAATCTCCCTGAATTATAAAGTAAACATTCTATCTCTCTTTCAAAGATGCTGGATCGTATATTATGCTTCTAGAAGATGTCACTGTTCTCTTTAACCTGACTGGTTCCATTGTTAAGTCTTATTTTGCTTACTTATACTCTTATTAAAGCCTTGAGATGCCAGGAAAAGATTCTTTTTAGTAAGCTATGGCTGAGCCACTATTGATATTATACAAGGGATCCTTTTACCTCGTACTAGATGTTGAGAGTGCATCATATTGATCTAGGAATAAAAAACTCTTTTTCCAGTAGTCAACCCATCTTCTCATCTCAGCACTTTGTTTTAAAGTTTTTCTGTTTGCTGCTTTGTTTTAAACAGAGTATAGAAGACAAAATCTATTTTGGCTATGTTGCTATATTTAGCAAGAAGAAACAGTTTACAAGCTTTTTTTTTTTTTTGGATGCAATTCAGGTAAAAACAAACAAACACGAATACGGCTGGCTGTCAAATCTAAGCCAACTCTGCTTTTTTAAGTGTTAAAACTTGTGAGAAAAAGCTATTTGCAGCAAAATCCCATATTCATTTTTATTTCATATTCAGACTAACATTACTGCTAATCCTCAGCTGGTGAATTTGACTGATGTAAATGCTAACGTAATACGCAAAAGATGAAAATAGAAAGGAGCCTTGAGCACCAGAAAGAATATGTGTCTTAAAAATTGTTCTCATCTTCACCCTGGAAAGTCTTGCAAGCTCATCTGTTCCCGTTGTAATGCTATGTAATGATTACACCTTCTCCTTCGAAACGCCTTTCCTAATCATGCATATTTAATTCTACTTTGTGTATATACCCTACAGTTTGTATAGTCCTTCTATAAATAGACCTTCTGCATCCTGAATTATCTCCCGCGTTTTCCCTCAGATACAGTTCAACATTGGTATTTAGAATAGATCAACTCTAGATTTGCCAGCAATTCTTCCTGCTTCCATTGTGATACGGGCTTGCTCTCCTGAAAGGGGATGTAAGGGAACCTATCATTTCACAATGCTATCCTTTCACCGAACTGTATCGCTACAGAATGAAACTAACTTTAGATAAAGGAGCTGGTTTAAACCTGATTTTATTGTCTGTGTTCCTAACCATTTTCTCCCTCTGATGGTTTCAAAGGAGTCTTTCCTGTGACTGCCTGCCTTTTGTACCAGGCATGAGCCTTTCTTAAATCTCAGTGACTCGCACGGGCTCGCATTTAGCAGGATGATAACGCACGTTCTATGCTCACATAAACACCCTGACACCGGTGTGTACCCTCGGTACGTGCAGAGGAACACACACCGGGCGCGGGCTCGGTCGCACCGGCCACCCCGAGCCGCGGCCGAGCGCGGCGCGACCTCCCGCCGCAACCGGCCCCGGGCGGCCGGGCAGCCGAGCGCCGGGGCCGAGAGTCCGGCCGGCCGGGAGTCCCGGCAGCCGAGCGCCCGGGCAGCCTCGCCGCCCTCCCGGCCCCGCCACGGGCTGCCGGCCCCGCGCACCTGCCGCCCCGCCGGGTGCGGGGCCACCGGCGGCCCCGGACGGCTTCCCCGAGCCAGAGGGGCTCCGGCGCGCCCGGGAGACAGCGGTTCGGCGCTGGCCCTGCGTTTGAGAAGCGCCTGGTCCCCACACGAGTCCCCCAGTCCTTGGCGCACGCCAGCCTGACTTGTTCCCTGCCGGGAAGACTCTCCCCGGCCGGGGCGGCACACCCGGCAGCTGTGCCCGGCACGGGGCGGGCGCCTGCCGAGATGGGCCCGGCGGGGGTCCGCTCGCACCCGGGACACAGATATTGGTATTTATTTATTTATTCGGCTGCTTCGGACGAGCCGGTTGTCAGGGCTCCGGAGCCCCACAGACCCCGGCCGCTGCCGAAGGGCGGTCCCGCTCCTCGCCGCTCGGCGTTCGCAACTCCTGGAGCGAGGAGGTACGCGCGGCTTCCCGATGCCTCGCCGTGAGGTGCAACCTCAGACTGGCAACTACTAGTTTGGGGGGTTCAGTCCCCTGGACTGAACCGTGGACTGCACATCTTCCCCTGAGCTCAGCGGGCTCTGCCCCCGCAGGGAGAGAGCGGGGAGGTGACCCCCTCACTCGCCCCCCGGCTCTCCCGCCCCCCCGCGGGCACTGCCGCCCACACAGCCCGGGGCGCCTCTCGCCCGCTCCGCTGCCCGCTTCCATCCGCTGCCCAACTTTTCCTGTCACGCCAGCGCCAGAAACCCCCTTCCCCACGCACGCACGCACACACAAACACCGGTGTAGTTTATAAATGACAGTTGCCTGTAGACTTTCACCAGACAAGCAGCGGGGGCAGCAGACTACAACAGTTATTTAATTAAAGGCGCTTCGGAGGCTCCCAGAATAGCTCTCTACCTCTGAGGCGCGAATTCTGGTTTCCCCCTGCTCTCCCCCACCGCCTCGCCAGCCGCTCCCCGCTGCCCGAGCCCCGGCGCGGGCGGCAGGGACGGACCCGGCCGGCGTTACCCGGCTGCGAGCTCCGCATTGCACAGTCATCAAAGTTAAGTGCGGGAAGGGGGGGGTCGAGAATGAATCAGGAGGAGAGACGGGCGAGCCGAACTATTTCCACCTAGGCAGGAACCGAAATTTTTACGGGGCGGAATGCGTATGCAGCCATTTCCGAGGGAGGGGGACACGGGTGCGGTGGGGTCCCTCTCGCACGCAGCCTGTCACTCGCACCCTGCTTCCTCCGCCCGGCAAACTCGCCCGGCTGCCTCGGTGCTGTCCCTCAGCGCAGCCGAGGGCAGGCTCGGGGCACTCCGCTCGAGTTGCCCGACTGAGCCCCGAGTTGCTCCCGGACATCACGCACCACTCCGTGGGCTACAGCTCCCGCTCCTCAGCTCTCCTCACGCTCCTCTTCCTCACGGGAGGGGCGGGGGCGGAGGGAAGGGGCCCGAAAGGCTCAAGGGAAAAGGCTCTTTTCTGTCATTTCTTTTCTCGGCTAATTCAAATCCTCCCGTCCCCACAACACAAATACACGCTGAACAGAAACACTTCCAGACCCTTCCTGCACACACTGGCACCACCTTCGTCTCCCCCGAGCACCCGGGCGGGCGCAGCTGCGGCGAGCGCGCAGCACCGGCCACCTCTTACCTGGTTGTAGGAGGTCTCCCAGGAGGAGGTGTAGTTGTAAAAGAAGGAGGAGAAGCAAGCGTCTTCCGACAGCCCGCAGCCAGCCATCCTCTGGGCGCAAAACCTCTTCGGGAAGGCGCGAGCAGCCCTCGCAAACTCTTGCCTCTTGCGGGGTCGCTGCCGCCACCGCCGCCGCTGGCGCTGCCCCCGCGGAGTGGTGCCGACAGCTTCGCGCTGGCGGCGGCCGGCGCGGTGCGTGCGGGGCAGCGGGGCTGGAAGGACGGAAGAATGGATGGAGGCGCGGGTACCGCGTGTCTGTGCGTGTGCGAGCGCGGCCGTTCGCGGCGGCACCGAGGGGCCGGGGCCGGTCACGTGCGCGCGCTCACTCCGCCGCCGCCGCCGCCGGGGACGGGCCGCGCTACAGACCCCGGCACTGGATCACCAGCGCCGGGCGCCCTCGCCATCCCCGCCCGCCCGCCCGTCCCCGCTCGGCAGCGCAGCCCCTGCGCACGGGAACGAGGGGGCGCCTGCGGGACCTGCGGCCGCACCGCGGCGGGGAAGGAGCAGGCAAGTGGCGACGCGCGTCCTCCCCCGCCGCGCCGGGGCAGCGCCGCCGCGGGCGGGCCCGCCCTCCCGGCCGCGGCCCGGCCTCCCCGCCCCGCCCCGCGCCCGGCCCCGCCGCGCAGCACCGCGTTGCGCCGCCAAAGTTGCCACTGGGTTCGCAGCGGGGAGGGCATGGGCTCGGCCCCGTCGCCGCAGCCCGGCCCGGGCGCCCGAGGGGAAGGGGGCGGGAAAACCGGCGGGAAACTTGTCTTCAGACCCCCTCAGCGAGCGCCCGTCCTGCCAGGTGCAGTCTGTCCCGCTTGCTCCTCTCGGGGGGTGTTTGCCTCAGCACCCCGTCGGCGAGGAGAGGGAGAAAACCGGAAATTTTTTGGGTTTTTTAAGCGTGTCGGTGATCGTAGGAGCGGCCCTGGGACCGCACCGGGGCCCAGGGTTCCCTCCCGGGGCCCCCGCCGTGAGGGAAGGGAACACTTGACCGCCCGTGAGCCGTCGTCACACTGCTCATCGGACACGGCGAGGTCATGCTGAATATAGTGATTTTAAAGTATTTGCCAGGAAATTAGCGGAAATAGATTGGATTACGTTGACCCTGCTCCTTGAGTATTCCTTATTCTGCTTGCAGACCCAGCAGCTTGAGCGCGATTCTCTGACAAGGGGGACATTGTCCTCATCAGCTAACACTGATATCACAAAACTCAGCTAATTATAAATGTAAAGCAAATAATGGAGGTTTTTGTTGTTTTTTTCAGAATAACTGTTCTGTTTCGTAAAGGAATATGTTTTTCATATTTAAAAAATTCCGTGTTTGTTTCCAAAGCATAGCTGAGCGGGGAGGTAGTTTGTTGAGCAGCACCCAGTTGTTATAACAGCCTACAGCCATTGATGGAGAAGACTAGACACAGTTCTGTGGCACAAATGATCAAAGGCCCAGTGAAGCTCCTCACTCCCCCTCACCTGATACTTCAAGGAAGAAAACACCATTTAGTAATAGCCATGGAATCCTCTGGCCACTCCATTTCTTGAGGAAACAACTGTGGCATGAGCGTGGAATACCGTGAAACACACGTGAGTGTAGTAGAAACTCGGCATTTTGATGTTGAGTTGACATTGTCCAAAAGGCTAGCCAAGAATTCATCATCCAGAGGAATCTCTGTCCCATATGAGATCACACAGCCTTTCATTCTGTCCTAAACCAGGACAGGAAGTTGAGGAAGGATCAACAACAGGAAGGATCCCGGCAACAGAATATGGAAACGACATAAAAAACAAGGTGTTCACAGTGTCCACAAGAATTTGTTTCTCAAATTACTTCAGTATTTTCTTTCAGAGACTGTTTAGGCTGCTCATCAGTCACTCCCTGAACTTACATGTTTTTTTATTTCAGCTTTTCAGACAGCAACAATTAAGGCATAAAATTCCTTGCCACTTCACCATCGTTCTTGAATTTCCTTTTGTCTGAGGGGTCACTGTTCAAAGCATCTTACTTCTAAAATTTTAAGCAACTTGACATTGCATGTTTCATCTTCATATTCAGTCTTAGTGCATTCCATTGGGACTGTACTCTAGCATAGCCTGATCTCTGAACTGTTTATTCTGTTCACGTAAATTTTGCACTTTCCCTCCCACCCCCCAGTATCTGATGAGTCTATTCACTTCAGTAGGTTTTACCCTACTTCCCTCTCCTCTAGTGACAGATATACTATCTGTGTCTCCCGTGCCATGTTGTTTAGAAGTCTTACAACAGATTATGGGTTGTTAACCCATTATGGGTTTTTTCTTTTTCCTTCAAACATTGTTCCTCACCCTGCTGTTAACCATTTGGTCTAGCTCAAAATCTCTTCATTTGAATTTCAGAAAGTTCCCCTGGGGGGCCATCACTGGTGGGAGGTTAAGCTTAATTGCACAGTGATCAGTTACTAATGGAGATCCAGCTGTAGTCTTTGCTGATAGCTGTGAACTACTCCGAACCTATTCAAGGCCTCTGCAGAGCACACTTCTGCTGGCAGCAAAACAAGATCTGAAAACTTATTTATAGCATTATGTGTTGCTCCTCCAGACCATTTGTAGATGTTTTCAGTCAACCAGCCATTACGGGAATGGCTAATAATCTATTTGTCCATCGCATGAGTTAGCACACTAACATCATTGTTACTGCGACGGTGGTGGTGAAGCAAAAAAACTTTGTATGCTGCTTCTGTTACTAGAAGTGTGTAACCAAACATAATAAAATCCACAAATAGCTCTTGTCTAATATCCCATCCCAGTGTGCTAATAGCTCCATAGTAAAGATGCTAAGAGTGTATTCAGTTCTGTGGGCAGGAAGGAGTAAAGTGGAGATAAATAAACTCCTGTAAAGGACTTGGAAAAAATGGATTGGTGAGGGGTGGAGGAAACAGCAGAAGCCACGAAATGTTTGAATAACAAAAGTAATCTCGGTATAACCATTAATACTCCATCTGTGCTGAAAAAAAAGAGGCCTGGTGCAGATGGAACAGAGGAAAATTACTCAAATTTCTTCAGAGACGCATAATACTGTGCAGTTAGGATGTGCCAGAGTACTAGATAAAGGCTGGCAAAGCAGCTAGAAAGGCATCTTATTAAATACAGTCTAGAATTTAATTTGGTTTGCTCTTTGCTTACATGTTTTCAGCTTAAAGATTTTCAAAGTCTATTAAATAAACTACAAACTGTTTTGCGGGGGGGGGGGAGGGGAGGAGGGGAGTTTTTTACCTTCAAACCTGTCTGGTTTAGGAATAAAGTGAATGAGGATGGAGCTTTTAAATGGGGCTGGTTTGTCTTCTCAGAGAAAGCATATCTTCATTCCCATGAGGCTGTTGCACCGTGTTGGTTTTGGCTGGGATACAGTTAATTTTCTTCGCATTAGCTGGTATGGGGCTGTGTTTTGGATTTGTGCTGAAGACTGTTGATAACACAGGGATGTTTTCATTACTGCTGAGCAGTGCTGACACAGCGATAAGGTTTCTTCTGCCCCTCACCCCACCCCACCAGCAAGTAGGCTGGGGGTGCACAATGAGTTGGGAGGGGACACAGCCAGGAGAGCTGACCCCAGCTGACCTAAGGATATTCCATACCCTGTGGCATCATGCTCAGCAGATACAACTGGGGGAAGAAGCAAGAAGGGGAGACATTCAGAGTGATGGCATTTGTCTTCCCAAGTCACTCTTACATGTGATGGAGCCCTGCTTTCTTGGGAATGGATGAATACCTGCCTGCCCATGGGAAGTGGTGAATGAATTCCTTGTTTTGCTTTGGCTGCGTGCACAGCCTTTGCTCTACCTGTTAAACTGTCTTTATCTCCACAACCGAGTTTTCTCACTTTTACGATGCTCTTCCCCCATCACACTGGAGGTGAGGAGGGAGCGAGTGGCTGCGAGGACCTTATTGCTGGCTGGGGATAACCACGACAAGCCCAGAGAGGAGACTGAGGCCAAGGACTGCTGTTGGAGCCAATAATAGATCTGATTTCGCCAAGTGCCAGGTTTTTGCAGAGACTGCTCAAAGAGTAAACCAGTACCCCACTGCTAAAGGCAAAAGCCAGAGCAGCTTTCTTTTCTTTATGCAGTGATCTCTCCTCACAGGGCAAAAGTCTATAATATCAGATATTCCAAAATGTTAGAAGCTGTCCCTGTATCTTATTTGAAGGTAAAAAAAAAAAAAAAAAAAAAAAAAAAAAAGACTGTTTCTACTTGGCCTATTCGTAAGTGCATAAAAAGTCAATTAAGACAGTTCATAAAAATTGAAGAGGAAAGGCTTTAAAAGTTCACTGATAGGTTTTCTATTAGGCTAATACTTTAAAGCTTCCTTAGCACCTTCCATCATCAAATTCTTTCATTTACCTTTATGAACACCTCTGGAGCTATGTATTACATCTTTTTAATATTTGAGGAGATCAATAGTTTAAGTACCAGACCCTTGAAAAAGTCAAGCAACATTGTTAGACAATGTTTATAAAAGCAATTGGTCCCAGAGGAGCAAAAGCCTACTTAAAGCAGGAATAAGTGGAAATTTCAGAGTTTTTAGGTTTCCGTTTAACTTTCAAGATAAGTCGTGTCTATAATACAAAACATAACTGAGAATCAAACTACAAGTGGATGAGAACACAGGAACCATGGTCACCTTTAAAACATCTTTGCAGTGTTCTGAGGGTTTTTTTTCACTGGCTTCTCACTGCATAAAATACAGATTTTTTTTTCACCTTCACATGGCTACACAGCTTGTAGCATGTGTTCCAAGCTACCTGAGAGACATGGAGCTCCCAGAACAGCTTCCACATGTTGGATTCATCAGCCTCAACCACAGGAGCTACAGGTGCAGATTTTCCAATATTAACATAACAGATCAAGATTAATCAAATTCAGCTTTTCTAAAGTATCCTGGAATACCACTCCTAAACTTCAGTTACACCACACCATTTAAAAAACACAAGGTTCTGCTGAATGAAAATTGCATACAGAAAATGGACACTTCCCATCCACTGAACTGTGGAATTTATCAGAGCCAGATTTTTTTGAAGTCCCGTTACGTCCAATATACTTCTCTTGATTGTACATATCACTGCAATATCTGAATACTTTCAAACAGTGCACTAAACTAGGTAACCAACATCTGCTCCTTCTTCCTCTCATCAAAAAGGCAACAGTATTGTGTTGGAGTCTTTGCTGCGTGTGGCGAGAGAAGAAATGCTCAAAGAAACAGTCCTTAAAGCAGGAGGTCTTGAGATTCTAGATGATTATTAGTTACTGTTGAAATCTGTTTACCATCTTGTCATTACTGCACAGACAGGTTTTACCCTTATTTCAAAAAGTTCAGTTACACCCAAGAAATAACTCTCAATGGCTTTGGCACTCCTGGTCTCCATCCCAGAGCTGAGTCTAGGCTGTTAAGAGTCTTCAAGAAGAAAATCAAGACCTGGAATGTAACTATTTTTTTCTAAGTTTGCTAGATGGTGAGGATTCCATATGCTGCTGTGCTTCACTCGAAAGCTAAAAAGATAATTGATAGGATAGCAGCTCCAAGAAAAAGAGGACAGTAGAAAAGTATTTTTTGTCAGTGCTGCTATGTGAGACCATCAGAAATGAGTAACAAGGTTCTCTAAAGCCATCTACATGCAAAGACCAATTGAAAATATACAATCACCGAGAAAACGGTACATTTTTCAATATGTTTTCATCTCACCATCAGTCTATTATTTGTCTTGCCTTAGTTCAGGTTCAGTTGCTTACTCTTCATCCATGAGCTAATTCCATCTCAGCAATCTAAGCATTGGGTCATCATGATAATTGAAGTTACGTGAAATAGGCAACTGAATGAAGTAAAGCTGATTATTCAAAAAGAAAGAAAAGGAAAAAAAAAGCGCCAGGAGTTTTAAAGCTAGATTACATGAATTTTTGCTCATCTCAAAAATGCAGGAAATTATTTTCCTTGAATTCTGCAAGATCAAGTGTGCCACTGATTAAAACTTTGTCTACTGAAGTGGAAGAGCAGAACACTGATGAGTTTGATTGTCCTGCAAGCAAGATATTTTCAATGAGACTGTTAACAAAATGAAGCCACTATGATAATTTAATTCCTAGTTCAGGCCTTCCAGCAGCTTTTCAACATGAGTAATCTCCATCAGTTCAATACCCCCAAAATTATAAATAACAACCAGTGAATACGTGCCATTCAAATGTCAGCAGGCATGAACTTATGAGGTAGTGCATAACTTTTATAGCCTCACCACCAATTAACAATGTAAATAAATTACTAAAGACCTATCAGATTATAATTTCTCCAAAATAACATTCCTGTGATTATGTTTCTGTGATTATAGTTATGAAGTAACTAATCAGAGGTGGGGGGGGAATCCCAGAATAACCCAAATTAGCAGGAATCAAGATGGTTGGCATGAGTCCCTGCCTCTAGTGTAAAGTATCTTCACATCTGAGAATACCCCCCAGCTATTCTGCCTGCTTCTGGGTACATTTGGCTCGTTAGCAAAATACTGAGTGATACAACAGGAGTAGACTCAGCATTATTTTACCAATCATGGAAAAGATGTCATCTAAGAATGGGTGCTCTGAAAGGTATGATGAGATCTCTTGTCATCGCTCAGATAATGAAAAAGACAGGAGGCTTCACCGTTCAGCACATTATTCAAAGCTGATTGATAAAGCAGTAGCACCTTCTCATCACAAACTGTATTACAGACATTCAAACAATATTTGGCAACTCCTTTGGCACTGTACGCTGTATCATCTGGGGAGAAATGTGGAGGAGGGAGGAAGACAGACTCCCAGCCACACACTGTACAACTTGGGGGAATTGCATTTAGCTGTCTTTTGCACAATCCCAAGAAAAGTCTTGATCAATACAGAATTCCATTTTTTCACAAGAAATACCACAAAGAGGCAGCAAAGCCCCAGAAATAATTGATAGATATTTCAAAGGGATTTGACAGAACATTAACTTTGGATTTCTTCTGTGACATCATCTTACTTGAGCCAATTAAAAAAAAAAAAACCACCTTGCTAGGAGAAAACCTAGGCAGGCATTAGAACCAGACATGGTTTTGCAGCTTGTAAGCACATGTCCTTTCTTTGACATATTGGCCAAAATCAAGGGAAAGATAAATCATTTTGCATAAAGCCAGTTAAAGTGAATGCAATGAGAAGGCAATTACAATGGCTCTGCAATTTTTACTTTTTTTTTAATGTTGAAGTTTTGTAAGTAGTAAGAACAAAGATTTGCTGCCGACTTTGTTCCTAATTTAGGAAGTTCTCAGTCTAGAAAATATAGCATTGATAGAGTTGTTTTTATGATCAAATTAGTTTGATCAAGAGACTGCTAAAAAAAGCAAATTAATTTCTGAAACCTCACTGTACCTAATGAGAGATCTAAACATTTGTCTCATATCAAGCCAGTAGACTACAAACGTTTGGATCTTTAAGCTTTACTTGCAAAAATAATATCCATTGCAGGCAATTATAGTGTGAAGAACAAATGTGATTATGAAGGAGATCACGAAGTAGGCCATTACCATTTCATATAATTGAATATTTTCCTATTAACTTTTCCTTCCACAGTTCTCCTCCAGAGACAAACAGGTTTCTGTAGGCTGCAGAAAAATCAGAACTCTACCACCACTTTACTGTTCAGCTTCGTATTTGACAGTGTTTGAGAATGGAAAGAACAGACATTTGAACAGTGTTCGGATTTACATAGCAGCAAATCCAACAAGGAGTTTTAGAGCAAAAACTCTTATCACTGGCTTGCTTATAGAGAGAAACTGTGAAGTGTCCACAAATTTAAATGTCTGTTTTCAACAAACAGGGTAGATATTATGGTGAACATCAAGACTGGAATTTTAAATTCTTGCCAGTTCTTATATGATTTCTGCTCTTAATAAAGTTGTTTGTTAAAAGTGTGAAGAAGTAGCAGTAATTTGAGTTTTACTTCCATTATATTGTGTAACACATTGGAACAAAGCTGTCAATGCCCCCTTGGACAGAGAGATGCTCAGAGGAACATGTTGTGACTCACACTGCGTCGAACCTGCTGCTGCTGCTCTACAAATTGTTAAGCCTTTCTGAACAAATTGTAAGCCTTTCAGGAAGGTTCACAGGGCATTCATTTCTTTAAAAGAACAATACTATCCTTGTCACAGAACAGGCTTATCAGTTACTTGTTATTCAACATGCAAAATGAAACAACCTCAAAGATAGCATTCTAAGGTTTGAAAGGTCAAATTTAGTTTGCAAGTCTTTAAAATCGTACATGAATTTTGATAGCAAACACCTGCATTTTCATAAAGCTGAAAAGGTTGATATTTTTGAGGTTAAAACTGGTTACTAATATAAGCAGAAGTGGTTTGACTACACAGCTGAATATTTAAATGGACAAAGTATTCAGGAAATAGGTCCACCAGCAGCTTTCCACTCTGTGGAGCCTGGTAAGTACTCGATGCTCTTAAGTGTTTATTGTTTATGCTGCTAGAAGCAGTGAGGCTGGGAACATTAATGTGATATGCTCACAAAATAAACACTGAATTCAAATGGAAGGCAAGAGGGCTACTTTAGCTGAAAGAATACGACCAACCCAAAATAATACATGTTTAAAGCCACAGGAAATATTTATTATCAACATTAATTTGTGCTATGTTTTATTTGTCTGTACAACAAAACTACTGCATAGCTTTCACAGCTGGAAGAACCACTCAGAGCTGAGATGTACACAAATGAAAATTATTTTATCATCTGTCCAACATACATTCAGTGTTCCTGAGAAACTACCATATTTGAGTTGAAACTGCAAAATCATAACACAGAATTAGTCTTGTTACCACTGCTACAGGAATGTTATTTTACTGCTGTTACCATATTTAGTTTAATCCCTTGATACTGGAAGCTTGGATCTCCTTGATGCCAACCACTTATCTCAAACACATCAGTGCAAATTAGAGGCAGCCCAAGCTTGTCATTCACAAAAGGAAAAGCAAAGAGAGGGGCAAACACTCTCATAATGGTTTCGTTCTGGTTTTAAAGCTGCTCATTTCAAGATCAAAAATATCTGACATTTGTATTACTGGGGAATAACACCCAGTTGTAGGAACAGTTCTAGGAAGCATACATATCCCAAACCAAAGCTACCAGGGTCAGAAGTACTAGTAGAAAAAGGAACCAGGTTGACCAAGTAGATCATTTTTCCCTCTGCTTCACATAAATCTAATGTCACATACATAGTCATGAAGTTAAATAATTTTAAAAGGTCAACAGAGTACCAGAGTAAGATTATACTTCTAATAGTAAAATATGTTTATGTTTATTATTAAAACCTTCAGCTGTTCTGAAACCAAGATAAATGTCTACTCCTTACAAATTACAGTAAGTGAATAAATCTGTGTACTTTAGAATATAACTCTCTGCTTTCTACTGTCATAGTGTGGTATGGCTTTTTATTGCTATATATTACCAGAAAATGAACTAGAGCAATCTGATTACAAATTAATAATTGTAGCTTGACTGGATGGAAGAAAAACTCTTTGCCCTTTGACTTTTGCTAAGGTATCTTTTCAAATTACATAGTGAAAGCTAATTTCAGCATTTTTGCTTTAATATGGCAAATAATGAGCAGTTCCCAGTATGCACTGTGTAGCAGTGCAGGTTGAAAGTTAGACGTCACAAAGCAGTGCTGTGTCACAGGCCCTGATGTGAAAAGGGAGGGGGGGATCAGAAATGGTGGCATTGCTCTGTCACGAAAAACTGACGCAAGCGATACAGAACGTACCAACCCACACTGGCCCGTGCCAGTGCTCTCCAACTTCAGTGAGTGGGCACAGCACAACAAATGGAGACACTCCTGTAAACCCTAAAGGAACTTCAGCGCCTGTCTTTTGCACTGCACTACATAGAGATCTCCCAAAAGCAAGAGTGCAGGGGGGGTTTATGACATCGGGACATGGCGAAGCATGGAGTCACCACTTTTTCTTTTCTCTGACAAAAATTCTAATTGCTGTTAAATCCCTACAAATCTAAACAGTATAACTGGTCACTTCTTTATGTCTCCATAATGCTGATACATACCTAAACCACATGTACTCAGCCATTAGTAACTACCTCTGTATCTAACAAACCTAAATACACTTGTTACATCACACCAATTATTAGCCCTTTTACTGCTTTGAGGTATTACACAGCAGCACAATTACGATGGAAGACTCTCCTCTTTTCAAAAAATATACCCCTTTCACTTAGTACTGTTTTTCTATCATCTAACCCATTCTGTATTTTCAGAAGTCCCACACTATAAATAGTTTATTATATACAAACCACATATTTTCAAAAACCACCAGAATGTCTCTGATAAAAAGATCACTGTAAGTAAACAAAGACCTTTCAGACCAATCTAAAGCAGATAACCAGCTAATCCTAAGGAGCCATTACTCAGTACTCCAAAACAAAAATGCTCACAACACCTGGCTAGCAGTCTGAATGCTCTGAAGTGGCATCAATAGGGCAGGGAACACTGAACAGCAAATGGCTGCAGCTGGTGGGGGCAGCTCTGTGCTTTATCCGGGATCCCTCGCTCCTCAGGCCAGTAGGAAGGGTCTTGTAGTCAGTTGTGGCATTTCACAGGACAAAAAACAGGGGAAGCTGAATTTCTATTTGACACCAGCAAACTTTTGATTTCCAACTCTTCCTCCCATTTACTGCATTGTGCAGTATAAGCAGCCAGAGCTCTGATGATGGGCAGGACTGCAGGTATCTGTAACAGTTTTAGAGAGGCAGTGACCTTCATATGCTCATAGATAAAGCAGCCTTATTCCTACACCTCCTTCTTAGTTTCCTTTTGTTCCTCTGGGCAACCTTTTTTGACAGTTTTCCCATCAGAAAAATGGGAATGAGGTTTTACCTTTCAACAGTGAACTCAGGAAAACCCAGGGCTATTCTAAAATCCAAGCTTCTCTGCATGCATCTGCTCCACCCCCGAGACAGCAGCAGCAAAGAAGGTGGCTCCTGATACAAGCTTCCCTTTCAGACCCAGGAAACACTACTTGAAGAAGCCCTGCTATCCCTGTCACTACTCCTTCAGAGAGGGCCAGTAACTCCTTAGATACCTGGCTCCCCTCCCACTGCTATATGGCTCTAAAATTACATCAAAAGTGAGATTTGCAGCAAGTCTAAGGTGTCCACAGTGATTTAAGTGAGTTTGTGTTGTTTCTCCCCGAACCCTTGAACACCCTCAGTTATTTGAGATCAGTACTGGGCACAGAACAGACTGTACATGCCTGCACAAAGCCGCTCCCACCCCCGGGCCTTAGCGAAGGAATGACTCTGTGTCACACACGCAGTCCCCATGAGAAAATGCTTTGTCAGTTCTTCGGTAAGGGGAGCGTTTTTCAGAGATACACTAATGCCATGCAAGCACCAAACCCACCAGGTTCCCCAGATGTCTAGGTTTCTGTATATTCCTGAAGCACTAGCCCCCAGATTCCATCAGGGTCCCAGCAGGTAAGCTGTTTCCCATTGCTCGCATTCCCAGTCAGGAGGGGAGGGGGCACCAGGCCTGCTCTGTCCCCGGTGACAGCTGGGACACCGACAGCCTTCCAATTCAGCCCATGACACCGGTGCCCCCCTGGGCCTTCAGGTGGATTGCACAGGTGTCACTGGCTTAATTGGAAGGTGTCAGGGCTGCACAGCTGCCAGAGGACATGAGTTTGGCCAGTAGTATTTGCATTCCTGGTAGCAAAAACAGAGCAAAGTGAAAGATCCCAGGTCAGCTGTCACAGCCCAAGCTGAGTTTGTGGGTATGACAATTTTAAAAAAGAAAAAAAGAAAAAAAAAAAGGGCCAAAGTCTCTCCTGTGTCAAGTTCCACTCACAGCCATAGCCATCTGCTCCCCCATCCCCAAGGACCCAGGCTATGGCAGCTTATGTCAGCTGGTTCTGGGGTCCCTGAGGGGTTTCATGCAGAGAACTGGCTGTTTGTGGCCCTTGCTAGACCTAGGGAAAGTTGTGCAGAAGCTGGTTCTACACTGTTCAGCTGAAAGCTGCAGACAAATCCTAGAGACATTCTCTTACCTGGGGAGCGGCCAGTTTTCAGCACTGCACAAAGCAGCCCCCTCACAGTGGGGGATAAGCAAGTCAGGCAAAACCAGGCTGAGTCCTCCTAGAGCAGGAATTTGCAAAACCAACATTTTTATGTTTAGGAATGCTAGTATGAAATCCAGTTGCTTAAGAAGTTCAGAATCGCTGTTTTAAATAAAAACTCTTCCACCTGCAGTCAGAAAACTCCATCCAGTTCAACATTTTATGCAGAGTCAACCTCCCTCCTTCCTACTGAAAATGATTTTGTAGGGCAGGAGAGTCCATTCCACAATGCCTCAGGTGGGGGAGATCCTCCACTCCCTCACTCACTTATCAAACTTGAGACAGACTCCCCAACTCCCACCGCATATTATAAACCCACTCAAATTTTAATCTTCAGACATTTTTTCCTTCACAATTACTGTTTTAGTTGCTAACAAAAAGTTTTCAAAACTTCTCTATGCCCCATCATATAAAAGGCATTTTAGAAAAAAAAAGTTGGAATTTAAGGAAGTCCTCAAACTATTCCATTCCAAGTAATTTTATAGTCCATTGCTAGTATTTAAATAGGATACACCAAACATCAGTACTTAAGATTCGTCTGAGGTTAGTTACCAGCTCTCCAAACATAACCTATTTTTACTTCAGCCTTACAGCATGACAGCGCACAGCGCTCTTCCTAGGGGAACCAGTTTTAGCAAGAGCTGATCCAGCTTCTCTTTGCTATAAGGACCAAAGCTCAGTGTATTCCAGGGGGAGGGAAAAACTGAAATCTGATCAAATACATTAAAACACAGAATGACTTGGGTTGGCAGGGACCTTGTAGATCCAACCCTCCTGCCATGGGCAGGGACACCTTCCACTAGACCAGGTTGCTCAAAGCCCCATCCAACTGACCTTGAACACTGCAGGGACTGGGCATCCACAACTTCATTGGAAAACCTGTTCCAGCGCCTCACCGCCTTCACAGTGACGAATTTCTTCCTTATGTCTAATCTTAACCTACCCTCTGCTCAAGTAAAACCATTGCCCCATGTCCTGTCACTACAGGCCCTGGTAAAAAGCCACAACTCATTCTTACAAAACCTCTGTAAGTATTAAAAGTCCACAATAAGGTCTCCTCCTTTTCTTCTCAAGGCTAAATAGTGCCAACTCTCTCAGCCTGTCCTCATAGAGCTCCTCAGGTGCTCCAGCCCTCTGATCAAATTTCACTACAAATTCCTCATGGGATTAGCCTTCCCAAATTGAAAATGCTGTCAAATCATATTTCACCAAAAATCCGTACAAAATTACAACGGTGCAGTGTGACCTGACCTACAGTGTCACTTATGCTATTGTTTGTGTTGATCCTAAATGGTCCCTGAACACTGCCCAGCAGGGCAATTCCTAACTCGCCACAGACACTCCACGTTACAGGACACATTACTACAGTTCTGTCCAAGAAATATTTAGGGCTATGTTTGAAGAAAGCATTCTCCTAACACATCTGCATGCATTTCATTTTTCCTAAATAATTTAAACAAGTTTGCAAGGGATCAACATTGTATGCATTACGCTGATGTCATCATCACTGTGCTGCTTAAACATCCGCACTTTTAATATTAAAATATTAAACTACTGCCATGTCAATCAAACAGCAGTTTACTGGGAGACTAAATGGCTTCTCATGTTTCAATCAAAACAATAGAAATACTGACATACTGTGGCACAAAATTAGTATAAATAGACTTTATTGAAGTCAGTACCTTTGTACTGAAGCTGAAGATTGTGTCTACAGAAGCACAAGTTGTAACATTTCACAACTTCTAAAAGGAATGTCAACAATTACAACGATCATGCATACCATGGTCGATAATCACATTTTTAGAAGCATTTTCAACCATTTCTAAAGAAATGCTTAGAACATTGTTATATATAGAACTACTTTCAATAAACTGCAAAACATTGATTAGCTTTTCCAGTATGAGCTACAGTGTCAACACAAAAGGGAGGCATAAATGTTTAATTTATGAAATCAGAATGGAATATTTACTGTAAAGAAAAATTAAAAAGCTTTCAAATAAAGGCCATTATTGAACCAAAGTGAAGAGCACAACTTGAACTTTGAATCCTTTCATCTCTTAAAGCTGTCCTCTGAATAACTTCAGTTCAAAGCATAAATTCAGTACTGTGAGTATTCCTTGGACTGAAGTTTGGCAATGATGCGATCCAACTGTCTCTTTGCTTCGCACTGTGGAAAATTGCTCATGTCATAATATTGAGGGGCAATTTTCACCAGCCTGTCAAAAAAGGAAAAGCTTGTTACTGATACTCAAAACTTTAAGATGCATCTTAGAGAAATTCTACAAAGGGGGGAAACAAAGGTTATCCATTATTTTCAGCTCATTCTGCGATTCTAAGATTAATTGAATTTTACACACATGCACACACACATAAAATCTCAGTGCCATCCTGTGCAAGGGCTCAAGTCCAAAGCAAAAAGCACTCACGAGTCTCATGATATGCCCTGTGCAGCCATGTGCCCCTTACAGACCCTCACTGCTGCTGCAGTACCTGCCACGGTGGCCCACACAGCCAGAGCTGCTGCCTAATGTCCAAGGCCGCCAGCCACAGAAGTCCACCCAAACGTCAGTTTGTGTCCAAGTACAGTTCAGCCTTAGCTGCTTTAAGCTTAAAAATACAACTAAGGCCATATGAACATGCTTTACGCTATACAGTGTTTGTTGAGAAAAGATTTCTAAGGAACCACATTTTTCATTAAGATACTACAAGCTATATATGCTGCGTTTTCCAGCTTGCGAATCTTTAAACTCTTCCTGCACAACAGTAAAATTTCAGCAACTGAAGACCCTCCCATATCCCCAAAGCTTACAACTTGGCAGCTTAAGTATAACCTTAAAGACAGGCAAGGTGCTTCAGATCTCTGCTTGTCTGCAGAGGTTCAGGCCTCTATTTCCTTGATATACACTTGTTGAGGAATAAATATCATGACAAGGCAATTTGTACCACTATTACCACCTCTTTCTTTAGTATTTTAAGAAAGCACAAAATCCTGTTCAGCTCCTTCTGAAAGAAGCCAGATAAGTGAGGTCCTGGATCTTGAAAACAGAGGCACCTACTGGAATCTCTTAACTCAGGTATGCAAGTGGGTGCTTGGACTTATCCCCAGACAGGATCTTTCCAAACAGGCTCACCGAAGTAACTGTTTTTAAGTCAAGCATCTCTCTGTGCACTGCATACAGAGCCCAGGCACCATGAGTTCTAAACACAACTCCCACAACAAAAACCTTTAGTGATCTGCAACATCTCAAGTCCATGCCACTGCCATTCCTCAAACCATTTTAGTAAATATGGCTTCATAAAGAGTGAAAAGAATTACCTCAAGTTAAGAAAACGAAAAAGAAACACAAGAGCTGTACAGTAGATCACGACTGTTGCGAGACTTCAGCTTACCATTCTGGCTTGATGTCTGTACATGTCCGGATGTAGTTCTTCGTTGTAAGGACAAACTCATTATACAGCACCCATTCTGGTTTGTGATCAAGAACAGTGGAGGGATGCAACTGCACCACCTGGTTATCTTTTACAGTTAAGTAATGCCCCGTTCGCTCCAAATGTGCCACCTAAATAAAAAGACATTCTTTCATTACCACAGGCAATTTTTAAATGAAGCAATTTCAAGCTGATTGTTAAGTGTTCTATACAAAACGTACTATCCCAACTTTCAAACCCCTTCTAAATTTGGCACATTACTTGACCACTTCAACTATTCATGTTTTTTTATAGACACAATCAAGATGCCAGATGTTTTTGCTAACTGCCATGGTAAGTGTATATTCTAATATACAATTCAAGCAATATACAAAAATAGATATCACCCAAAGAGAAAAATCATTATTGGAACAACAGGAACGCAAACACAAGTACTGCAATGGAATTGGACAGGTTTGCACCATCACACAAAGCCAACTGTGGTCTACTACAGACATCTGCTTCAAACATTTAATTTGCAGTAGCCACTGTGGGACCAGTAAGCCACAATGTTGTCCTTTTATGAGAGAGGTCTTGTTACAGCATGAGCTTCAGAGCTGGAAAATGTAGGTTCAGCAACACACTTCTGTTGTGACCTTGGTGAAAATCAATTAACCTGTCTCTGACTAAGCTCCTTGCTCTATGAAAGGGAATAATGCCTACCTTGCCGAGATGCTCCGATACCAAATCTTAATGAGCTGGGTAAAGCAGACAGTTATCCTTAGAAGGATATCCTCTGTACAAACAGCTAATCTAACGGAACAGGTAACTAAAATTAACCCTCTGATACTGGAAATTGAAGATAACCTCTCCACTCATTACACACACACAAATACTGTAGAAAGATTAAACAGGATGGACAACAGCTGAAAGATGTCAAAAAACCACATTTTAGATCAGATCATCATCAGCTGGTTTCCTTTAATATAGATGCATACTCCTTTGTTTTCTTCCCTTTTTTTTTTAATTCTACATATAGCTTTTTTTTTTTGCCTAGTCAAAAGTGAATTCCACCTATTAGATTAAAACCTCAGGACTTCTAAAGCAACAGCTACCTCAAATTTTAAGTTAGAATAACTCCTTAGTAAGGAATTACTTACTTTGAGTGTGCTTCTCTTTTATATATTATGACATTATTATCCAGAATATGTTTTAGGACTAGAACAAAGTATTTCAATAGACTGCAAATCTTTTCACCCAAGATTTGAGAGATTACACTTCTACTTTATTTCAAGTCTGGGAAGCCAAGAGAGATTCCTTTAAATGGAGATTAACAGCACACTGTCTTTAACAATTTAGGCTTAATTTCATCCAACTCAATACAATGTTTGCAAAATTAAATAGCAGTATAGCTGCAAAACAGACTAGGCTAGACACTCATCTGTCAGAGACCTAGCACAAAGACAGCACACCATGCTGTAGGATTAGGCTTTTTTTCAAAGGATGTTCTGTTTAAAATCAATTTGATTTTTCAGATCAAAATACACATGCATACAAGAATATCAGAGTGCTTTATCTGTTCTAGTTCTTCCTAGAAAAGGACAGAACAAATCATTTATTTAGGTTTCATTTTAGAAATGCATGCTGTTAAAATTCAATACAATTTACCTTTAGCATCTCAGTCTCGCTCAGATGTACTGAAGTAGCAAAGTCTTATAATCTACCTTTCCCAAATACATACAATTTCCTTTTCCATGTAACTTATAATGATAGTGTAGTTGTATTTCTTGATTAATCTGTATTATTCCGAACTAAGTAAAAAGATTTCAAAATAACTAATTAAGCCTACTCAAAGAAAAATGCTACAGAAACGTACAAAGACCTCTGAATTTCCAGGGAAGGACAAGAACTGGAATAATACCAATTAAGAAGAAAATGTTTCCTTAGACCATTGATATCAGGGATTAAGCCACCTTTAGGTGGTTACATACTACTGTGACTGACTTCGATCCCAAGCCAACACTGACCCACAGTATTTATCCTACTGAGATGTTTCTAGGAAGTGTGCCTGTTGCCACATGCATCAGTGAAGAATTTCAGGGTCAGTAACAGCAATGCTATGAGAAATAACACAGTGAAGCTATGGCTCCACAGCAAGCCATGGTGATGTGCCAGCTGCTGCACTTTCCTGCTCCCTCCTGGCCTGAGCTGTTTCAGCACAGCTGATAGAGCCCATTCTTGCTTCCCCTTTGAAGGTGTAAGTGGCCTGCCAGGTCACTGAGCTGAAAGAATTTAGAAAGGCTCAGGCAAGCACCAAGGGTGACATAAGGGAGCGAACACTGACACATGGGAGGCAGCATACATACTTACACTCCTTTGAAACCCTGGCATAAAACCAATTCCAGTGCCTGCAAATGCAGGGGTAGTTGGACCAGGTGTCCTCCAGAGGGCCCTTCCACCACAACAATTCTGTGATGTTTTTCACAGTATAAAAAACCCACAATCTTCCACAGAAACCACAGGACGATACAGAGTATGTCTAGTAAATGGGTTCATTTTTTGATAAGCAGTGGTAGTAAGCAAGATATTATGAACACACCTGAACCCCAAGATCATCAAAGAATCTGTCATTAGTTTAAAACTTTTGTGAATTAGACTACCTAAACATGACTCTAAAAGGATGGCCAAGAGTCAAGCCAGCTCATCTCTGCAACAGATTACTATGCAGCCCCAGAAAGCCCACCTGGCTGATGACTTAAGAGACAATTATAACGCTTTTATCAACATGACAAACCTAGACAGCAACAGTGGCACATGCCACCACAGGAAAATGTTTTAGTTCAAGTTCTTGTCACAATTTTAGTAAAAATTACACATTCTCCCCTCTGAAATTTTAAATATGCTTGTGATTATTTATTATCTATCATGTCATTGAACCTAGAGGCCCAATAAGGGGTCTTTAGTCAAACATGTCTAACACTGTAAATACAAATGCATTTAAAAGGTCAAAAGCAGAAATAGTATCACAAGATCCAGGCTTTTTATATTTAAGGTTACAAATTTTGGCAGGTTAGTTCTGACAGACAGTTTAGATGGTTCCTTGTCTGTCTTTCTGACAAAAGAATACTAGCACGCACCAAAGGAGCAGCACTGTCAGTTGCCTGGACTTCTGAAGTTTCTGCTTGCAGTGCACGCAAGAGTGTTTCTGAATCTATTAAAAAGTTTTACACCATTCTTCTGCACTCTTAGAATAAAATGAATACCATTAAATGCACCAGTGGCAAATCATCTGACATCTAATTTTCTGTACACTATTGGTCAATTAAGTTATCCTCTGCAGTGACAATGATATAACCTGTGTTTGACTAAGCCACATCTTCTAGAAAAGGTTCCAAGTTTGATCTGTATACATTTGTGTCCAAGAACGCCAATGGCATCCCAGGGTACATTAGAAGACCATTGCCAGCAGGTCCTGGGAGGTGATCTTGCCTCTCCTATTCAGCCCTAGTGACCTGCATCTGGAGTTCTGTGTCCAGTTCTGGGCTCCCCAGTACAAAAGAGACATGGAGCTCCTAGACTGAGTCCATCAGAGGGCAACAAAGATAATTAAGGGACTGGAGCATCTCTCTTACGAGGAAAGGCTGGGGGAGCTGGGCCTGTTCAGCCTCAAGAAGAGACAACTGAGAGGGGACCTCATCCATGTCTGTAAGTATCTGAAGGGAAGGTGTCAAGAGGATGGAGCCAGGCTCTTCTCGGTGGTGCCAAGCAATAGGACAAGAGGCAATGAGCAGAAACTGATGCACAGGAAGTTTCACCTGAACAGGAGGAAGAAATTCTTTACTGTGCAGGTGACCAAGCACTGGAACAGACTGCCCAGAGAGGTTGTGGAGTCTCCCTCACTGGAGATATTTAAGCACCATCTGGATGCAAACCTATGCAATGTGCTCTGGGATGACCCTGCTTGTGTTGGAAGGTTGGACCAGATGACCCACTGTGGTCCCTTCCAACCTGACCCATTCTGTGATTTGAAAACATCACAGGACTTGTTTCCACCTTTGAATTTTGATGTAAATTTTCAACTATCAATTCTTCTTCTACCTCCAATAGTAGATTGGAAATACAATGATAAAAATCTAAGTTCTTTATGACAACTGGTAAAAAACAAACAAATCACTAAGAGAAAGATAACTCATCTTTAAGATATTTTGTCATTTGCTTCCCTTTTTCTGTTCAATTTAAAGTTTCCTTAGCTTACTTCCTGTACTATAACTTTTTTTGCTTACTCTTTACCACACAGTTACTTCAGCTAAGATTAGTTTTCCATGAATATCATGGATAAGTCACCATTAAGTGGTTACATACTCCCGTGACTTACTTCAATCCTGAGCTAACACTGTGCTACAGTATTTAAGCCTGTTTAGGTGTTTCTATAAAGTATGCTTAGTTCTCCTACTTCTGTTGCGTAAATAATCTACACCTAGTTCTTGAATTTTATTACCAAAGTACGATTATATTAGTTGTACAATTTGCCAATTCCTCTCCCTTCTTAAGACAGGCTGTGTCTGGCACTGAAGTACTGAAAAAGCAGTATTTCTTTCATGTATTTTAATTTCAATGAGCAGCTTCTTAGCAATTTAGCAAGCATCACCCTTGCTCTATTTTACATATATTTTGCATATTCTGATGTGTGATACAGAAACATATTTTAAAAAAATTTTGCACAATGAAAACTGTAAGAAATCTTAGATTTAGCATGAAAGTTTTACAAGTCACTTAACTTCTTGTCAATATCTATCTTTCCCAAGTCTTACTATACACAGAACTGTTGACAGTTTTAAACTATTCTACTACTCACTTTGTCTACGGCAAATTTACTGGAATTCAAGTTTGCATTTAAATATGAAGGGTAAAGAGATGATTCATCACCAACAGAAATTTCACATTTATCCATCGCTAACACCGAATCGAAGGCAGGCAAACATACAGTACTTAGTACTGGTTATGTAATTAGTACTATTACAACAGTTAATACAGGCCTGTGCTGTCTGACATCAACCACAGGTCTTGGTTAGTACAGAAAATTCTACAGTGCAATTTTATGACTGGTTTTATGACAGTAGGCAATTACCAAAGTATAAAACAATTCAGCCAATGAGAACTATTTCAGGGCAATGGTTGCTACTGCTTTTTCCACTTCATACTGCATTTTTAAGCTTAGAGAGTTTGAAGAATCACTGCCATGTGTTGTCCACAGACTTAGTAATTTACATACAGAAACTATCTATGGTATGCGCACACGTTTTGCAAGTGCTCACACTTGGAATTTCACACATATTCTGTACTAAGAGGACAAAGAATGATGTATGCTTTTCATTACTTGAGTTTTCTGAACAAGAGCCCCAAAATGCCAGAGTCTGAGCATCAGCTTAGAGAGGGTATAATGCGTATACAGGTTACACTTTTAAGTACTTCAGCTGCCAGTAAATAACACCTCTGGAGTATTTATAATTTTTCTACTGAAGGTTACTCAAAGCAACATGGAATTCATGAGGTCAAAGAGGTATCACACTATCATGGAGGTTAAAGAATCAAAGAAACCAATGAAAATGGACTCTAACACTTTAAAGAAGAAGAGAAACTATTGAAATGGCTTCCACTCCAAATACCTTCAACAGGTCTGCCATAGTTATCTCTTGATTCAGCCCAAAAATTCCATTAGGCATTGTGGGTGAGGGAGGTGGTAGACAACCCATTAACCATGGAAGCCCAAGTAGACTTCTGAAGAGGCTTTATTTTTCATCTGTGTGAGTCTACTACTCTATTCACAGCAAAAATATAAAGTCAAATCTTTCACTCCTGAGACACGGAGAACAAAAAGCTACCTGCACCAACAGATCAGTTCCCCATCCATGGGAATAGGTGTTTTCTAATAGGAACTCTTCTTGAGGAAGACTCCGAGTAACATAAAACAAACATAAAACAAACTTGACAGCACACCAACTTCCATGTACATGACCTCCCCACAGGTCCAAATAAGTGACAGAAGCCATAGGGTATGGTGCCAAACAGAAGCACAGCTGTGACACTCAAACATGTCTTGGGGCCCAAAATGGACTGTTGGGCAGAACTATTGTCTTTCAAAACATCTATAGAATTAAAGGTGTAGGTGGGAACACTAAAGTGTTCCCCAAGAAATATGCAGAAAACATGTCCCAAATGCAACACCGAACACAGTGACTAACCAGCTTTTCTGAAAGGTTACAGCAAGCCAGGCTTTAGAACCACTTTAATATTTAAAAGCAGCCAACAGCCTTAATCTCGTATTTGCATTATAGTGAAATGCAGTTCCTGACATCGATATTCTTGTATTCTGAAAACCCAGAAACACGTGTCTGTTGCAGACTGGCTGGCTGAGCCCAGGGAAGGCACTGTTTCCTTGGCAGGGGTGATTTAAACGAACACAGTGCCCAACTCTGTGCCCCAGTTCAGGTGTGCTATGTGGGTGCCTGTCAGGCAAATGGCAAGAGTTTCAAACAGCATATTACAGACCTGCTCCAGTACTCCAGTAATCTGACTCATGTAATTTAAAAGTGAAATATAAGTATGGAAAAGCATGCAAGAGAAAATACTCTCCTTCTATAAAGATTACATATAGTTAATGTTTATATACTACTATACTTCCCTGTTTTGTATCACATTGCAAATAATTTAGAACTACATATTCTGCACGACTTAGAAATCTTTATAAGTAACTTTTTAAGTTACTTCCTCAGCTACCCAGAAGTTAGTGGCCATCTCCTGACTGGTCAAGCCAGAAATGATATTTTGATACTAGTAAGACTGCCTACAAATTCTTTGCCAAATAAGATTTGTTTAAAAAGCGTGATACTTGAGTAATAACCAAGCAACCTGACAAAGACTAGGTGGCAATATAGTTAGCCATGTATAATTTAAGTAACATTCATTAAGTTTTGACAAATTATAACAACCATACTAACATTATGAGCCACATAAACACTGAACTAAGTTACCTATGAGAATACACACATACCTGCATGAAATACCCAGTAACTAATGCCTTTCTGATGTTGATGTAATAGTCTCGGCTGGTAAAGTCTGTGCTTCTACGGGGCAAATTAAATCTATCCATGATTCGTGACAGCTGTTGGCGTACATTGTCTGCAGACATCAGGGACCTGTAGTTAATGAAGTTGTCATAACACCACTGAACCGACTCATGATCTGCAACATTAGAAAACATGAATCAAAATTAGAACATGTAAATAAAATAGCAACTAACAAACTGATCAGTCAGATGAACCAGAAAAAATATCCATAAACTTTTATAGATGACAGCAGCTTTTAGTTTGTTCAGCTGATTTCCTACATTAGGTAACTTGCCAAAACTGCTTTCTAGTCAGGAGGCGTGTGGTCAGGACAGAAAAAAATCAGTTTTTTTCTCCTCACCAACACAACATACACACAATCACTGATGTTCTGCTGAAATACCACACACCACTAAACTTTGGACATTTCAAAAATCACACCCTGTAAGTAAAAAAATCGTCTTCCAAACCTGCAGTGAAAAACATAACTTTACGTAAGGAGCACTGCAATCTTTAACTGTAGCATGCAAACACGCAAGATGATTGTACATAACTGCTGTATTTTAGAAATGAAATCCCCTTAAATTAAACATTCAGGCAACAGCTAAGAGCTATACAGACTTTTAATGTGATGCACCTCACAGCAGATTAAGTAAATGTAGGTGGCTGGTAAAATACAGCAACTGTAACACAACTCTGTACTCTCATGTTACCCTTCCTACTGCTGAAGGCTCTAAGAAGAAATTGCTAAAACAGCAAGTCTCTGCCATGCTATCAGGATAAGTACCTGCATGTTTCACATTCCCTACCAATTCTGTTACTTTTCAAGTAATGCTCTTCTCATCTTTGTCAGTTTAATAATCCAACAAAGCCTGTCTTAACAAGAATTAAGACTTAAGGTAACTCCTTAGGAGTGAGACTTTTCTTAATTTGCATTGAAAAGAAGGAAAGTTATGTAATTTGAGGTAGGTCCAAGTTCTTTCTGTGCTTTATCTTACAGAATATATGTTAAATCAAGTATGAATGATGAAGCTCTTGTACAGTTAGGATTCTACTGTATAGTGAAGTACCACAGCATGTTACTTTCTGAGCCACCTGAACTGTGCATCATAGATAACCCATAAATATCTTATATTGTTCTAGATACAAATAGTAACAGTATTTTATCTTCTGATTCCAGAAATCAATTCACAATTTCAAAGCAAAACTGAACAAAAGATGATTCCCAAAATAATTCCACCCCTCAGTAACCAGAGTATGAAAGCAGCAGCTTCCAGAAACATGCCCACACAGAATGTTTGCAAGACATCGTGGATCCTTGTTAACTAAAAAGCTGACAGAAAAACACAAGCAACACATCTCCAATTTAGAGGTGTTTAACAAAAGTTTCTCAGCTATTGTTTTAAACACATGGAATAAATTTGTTGGGACTTTTACTCTGGATTGCCACATGATGACAGTGTTAGAAGGTTTCAATACAAATTTTCTAAATCAAAACTGAAACAGAAAGGAGCACTAAGCTGCAGGGTTTCTACTCAAGGTAAAAACTGTTGCTTTTCTGTTTGCTTACAGGAAAATGCAACTGGAGCATGTAATTTAACCTCGCTGGCAGTTAATAGTAATCTTTTTACTGGCCACCAGCGTAAGTCACGTAAAAAAAGTGTGACACTTAGGTAGTCATTTTTTAAGAGAACTAGTTTTACCTGTTCATTCCTATCTTTTTCAAGCTGCTAAAATATCCTTCAGCTATGCTGTGGAGGACCACACATTTTCCCTAAATTCCATACACAGAAAGGACACAAATTAAATAAATGTATTGCATGGCTCCAAGTTACTTCTTGTTGATGCATCATCCCTTTGCCTCTCACCTATTCTAAAGCCTTATTACAGAATTCCTAACTATATTAAAAAGTTAGGATTAAAAAGGTTTTGGTTCTAGGAACATATCCTTCTCCAAATTCACAGCATTGAATTCACACCAATTTCTGCACTGCTTTCCCTGATAAATCACTAAACAATTATGCAGATTTTTTTATAATTAATGTCAGATAAACTTCCAATATTTCTTAATTATAGGAACACTTGCTTCCTTCTGTCCAAGGTTACTCGGCATTGATTTAAAAGCCTGGCTTGTCTCCATGCTCATCAGTTCATTACATGATTTCTTGGGTAGTTTTTTGGTTTTGTTTGATCCCCAAAGGCAAGTAGAACTTAAATAATAAAACCCAAGCCCAAGCCTTCCAAACTGCCCTTGGAACCCAGGAACGAAAGCTGACAGCACAAAGCATTATAAATAATTTCCCAAAACAGACAGACTTACTTTGCTTGAAAGCATGGTAGACATTCAGCAACGTCAAATGATCTCCATCTATGTGGGCAAACCTCATCTTGGCTTCATCTGCTGCTTTCTTTGCTTCCGTGGGGCGAACAAAACACTGTGGGACTAAACAAGGTTGGTATGGGCCCAACACAAACGCCCATATCGATGAGTCACGCATTCACAGATAGAGGAACAAGGCCTAGCTAGGTCAGTTCACAGAGCATAGGGCAGGGCAGGATGGCCTCCAACTGCATCTTGGACTGTTTACTACCATGATTTGGTACATCAACACCTAACCACATCTGTAAGACAAGAGGGTTTCAAAGCTACAGAGTACCTGATTATTTTAATAGAACTATATGTAGGCATCAAAATCTCTAGTCTGAAGGCCATCAAGATTACCTGCTGGAAGGCTAAACAGATCTTAGTTCAAATCCAGTGCTGATAGCTCTACCAGGAGCTAGTACATCAAAATCTCTAGTCTGAAGGCCATCAAGATTACCTGCTGGAAGGCTAAACAGATCTTAGTTCAAATCCAGTGCTGATAGCTCTACCAGGAGCTAGTACCCCATGGAATAAAACACTTTAACTGCAAATTGCTTTTTCAGAAAGCCCCTACAGACAGAGTAAAGAAGATAGTTCTGAAACTGTACTGCACAGTACAGTCTAAACAAACATGAGTTTGAATTATCAAAGGTCTGCTACTAGCCAGAACACACTAGTCAAGTCTCTTCCCAGATGGTATTGTTATCAGCACTGGTATACAGAAACATGTGAATGAAGGTATTAATAAGTCTAAAGGTTGTGATGGTAGCGGTAGTGGTGGAAGGTTAAACTGTCCTTTGGCACTACTTCAAATAAAAAACATATTAAAAAAATGCAACATGATGAGCTTTCTCCTATTATTTTATTCTCTTAAACACATCTGACTCAGTCTGACTTGAGTCCAAAAATCATGTTTTTCCACCTCCTTTCCAAATACAGACTAGCAAAGACCACAAATAGCATTGCAGCCAACCTAATTCATGGTCTGTCAACATTCTAGTAAGTTTGTAAGATTGATACTAATTCAGGAGATCTTGAAAGTACTTATAAAAGAGGTCTGTTGGAGCAGGGAGGTTGGACCAGGTGACCCACTGTGATCCCTTCCAACCCTACCCATTCTGTGATTCACTTTACAGAGATCTACAGCGTAAAAAAAATCAGTTGTGTTTAAAGTAGATGTAATTTTTAAGAGGTTAAATTTCAATAAAATTAATGCTAAGATGTTACAAATCCTCTATCTATTTCCATCTCTTTGAGACTACATTAGCTTTCGCATAACTGAAGCCCAGCAATCTCATGAGAACACCTCTTTGCATATGATCTATCAGATGAGGGCTTTTTTGTGGGGTGTTATGTGGTTTTATTTTATTTTATTCTTAAATTTGCATAAAAGCCCCAAAGCACTAAATATGTGAGCTGAATACTGGACGGAACTTGAGAAAAAAAATACACACTGCAATAGTGAATCACATGGTAACAAATCAACAAAGACCAATGCATTAAAGACAATGGAAATGCAGGTGTGAAATAAACACCCTGAATAGTGGGTCCTGCATTTGAAAAAAGAGATAATATAATTTTAATTTCAAACTCAGATTAATAAAAGCAAAATCCAAATTATTCTATCACTGTCTTAACTGTTTTGAATAAGTAATAGCACTTTCCATACCACAGCAAGACACCAAAGCTCTTATAAAATGAAGTACAATCATTTGATCTGCTCATTTATTCAGTGCTATTTTTGCTCCCTTTCTGGTACCTAGTTTCCCATTCAGTCCAAACTTAATACATGGATTACTATCCAAAGCCTGACAATCTTTATGAGGACTTTAGGCACCAAAACATATAATCATGCTGCTGGTTTATAAAAAAAGTGCTTGCTTTGGGAAATAGTCCTCACAAATACCAGGATTACGTGAGGGGTTTCTTTAAGAGCAGTATGTTAGTTATAACACGCACATTAACCATCTTCAATCCATTTTTTATTCCCTCCCCCACTTATTAATCATTATATTAATTGTGCCTTAAAACAAAAAAAGGCACTATCATGACCTGGGAAAAGGTAAACTGGAAGAGGAGTAAGGCAAATCAGTTGAAGGCCATTGACAAAAATATTAGACTGACTTGTTCTGTAGTAGATATTGGCAGAAGGGAAGAGAAAGACAGGCACCAACCTACCACCACCTCCGCAATTAAGCCTACCATTTAATTAAAAAAAATATTATGATTCTGCCCTGCCCATCTGCTCTGAGTCTGAACAATCATAACTCTGCAACAAACATTTTATCTTGTTCTTAAAAACTTTCATATATATATACTGTAAGACTAAACTGAAGCAACAGATTTTACACTTAGTCAAAATGGTTTTTTTTCTCTATCCAACCAAGTTAAGTATGTCAGCAGCACACCTGTGCTGTGGAGAGCACTGGTAAAGTAGCACACCCCAAAGACAAAAGAGTACTTAGGAGTAAGAACATCCCCATTTGTTGCTTGTCCTATGACCTATAACCATAAATCAACATCAGTTCTATGTAACCGGGAACTTAAAAACAAATTTGTGTGGTAACATTTTCCTCCCCATCAAGCTCTCTCAGCAAGCAGCTCTGCTCTGACACAGAGCTATTCATGTGACACAGCAGCAAAGTACAGCTGTGCACTTAAGTCAATTCTTATAAAGATACATCCTCGCCCCAAGTTTCTTTTTTCCCTTTAAAAGTAATGACTGTTCTCCAGTTTTGCCACTTAATGACTGAAAAGTGTACTTCATGTACAAGCTTGTGGTTTAATATAAATTAGACTGTAATCCCTTTGGGAATACTGAGATCTATCACAGTGCAGAAGGATGCACAATACGTAACAGATGTCACTGCCTTAAACTAAGCGGCTGAACTGACATTTCTGATCCTGTCAATGAGCCTGAGTAGAAATTTCTGTTCCATTACCCTGATTCCCTCCCCCCACCCAACAACTCAAATATATACACTTTTAACTGATATTAGGAGCAAACTCTTTAGCCATTTTATGTGTCTTAATTTCTTAACATTACTACTGATTAGGTTCAAGATCTTTACATAAATCTATAATGACTGAACCCATATATGAAGTTTTAAAAAACAATTCTAATTTTATTAGAAATACATGATTTTTTTTATGTGGAAAACTCAAATTTCCCCCAAACTGAAGATCTGCATTTTGTTTAGTATCTCTTTTCCTGCTATTACCTGACAACATGGCAGTAATAGATAGGACCTCATTAGAACAGTTGTAGTCACAGCTTGCAATAACCATTTTAGCCAGCTGTGGGTCCAGTGGAAATTCAGCCATCATGGATCCCAATTCAGTCAAGTCTCCATCATCATTTAAAGCAGCCAGGTAATTTAAAAGCTCTAAGGCTCTCATCAGAGTTTCAGGAGCTGAAAGAAAAAAAGTATGTAAGTAGGCACATTAACCAAACTGCTCTGAATCAGCAAAAAATGAGGAAGCACAGACTATTATAAGCTATCTTTTTGGTTTTTTTGTTCTCCATTCACTAGCATCCAAACACAAAACTGCTACCAAATTCAGTAACACACACCCAGGTGCGAATGAATACGGGTACGGGGGAGGAAACAAAATTCATTTAAAAAAGCTTTAATCACAAGCTTTAAATATTTGGAGATTACTGCTTTTCAAAATTCAGACAGCAGTGGCATTGTGATATACTCAGTATCATAGTAATATCACTTCCTCTCCCAGCAGATACCCTTTCCCTTGTTCCATACCAAACAGATCAATACAGCCCTAAAATCTCAGCCATGTCATCTTTAGGTATCTACAGTCTTTCACGAAGCCAGCAAGAATGTTCTCTTAATCCTGCCTTTCTCATACAGAGTCTGTATTAACCCACAAAATAAAACAGAAAGAAATTCAAGTATTCAATTATAGAATTTACAGAACTTCTAGAATTCTAGAAAAACACAACTACTTAAAAGCTTACAGACTATGTTATATTTTTATTTGAGGGGGGGAAAAAACAACTAGCTAACATATTTATATATGGCTGATCTACATTTTTAATTAGCAATATAAACCAGTTATTTTGGAAGCATATATGAACATTTAACACTTAGAAAGAAGATACACAATAACTTTATAGTTTGAGCCAAAATCATGTACTCAGCTTTAACAACACTAGCCAATTTTACACAATTAGAATGTGTAATCAAGGTGATAAGTAAAAGAATTTCAAATAATAGACTTTCTAATGCCCATAATTTTCTCTTATTCTCTACAGGCAAGGGGCATTCAGTAGATTCCTTGGTTCCATTAAAAGCTTTTACACAGACAGAAATACAAAAAGCTTGTTTTAATATGACACAGAGCACTAAATTTCAGGATAAACAAACGACATTCCTTACAGACTACAATTAAAAAAAAAAAAAAAAAAAGAAAAGGTAAAAGAATTTATTCCATGTTGTCATTATATAAAATAGTCACAAAAATAAAGATTGGAAAGATGGAAATAGATACCTGGAGGATCCATAAAATCAAAGTGCACCAAATCATCTATACCAAGCTTCTTGAGCTGTAATACTACAGATCCTAAGTTAGATCTCAAAATTTCAGGGTATGTGTTGTCCTGGGGGGGAGGGGAAAAAAAAGACAATTCAAAACGCTTGTTCTTCCAAACCCTTTATAGTCCAGAAGCATTCAAATTCTGATTTTGTTTAACAGCATGGCACTCAACTACCTGAATCAGGTGTGCTTATAATCTACAAGAAGTAACCTTACCTGCATTTCAGTTTTGTAAGCCTTCTCTGTGTAGAGCCTGAAGCACTTGCCTGGTCGAGTACGGCCAGCACGGCCAGCTCGCTGCTGAGCAGAAGCTTTACTGATCGCAGTCACCAGCAGAGACTCCACTCTGATACGAGGGTTGTACACCTATTTGAAAGTGGAAGCAGAGCAGGAAAGAAGGAAAAGAATAAACAGGTCATGGATAAGACAACTATCTGAAAAACTAAAGACTGCTTTAAATGTATTGTCAAGCACAGCTTCTGACTAGGAAATCACAAGTTGTATATATCTGAAAGGAGAAAAAAAACTTGCTACAAAATGCTCTGGATCAGTGACAGAGAGCTTCAAATACAACTGTCTAGAGAACAGCATTTTTTATTCATCTGTTAACAGCAACTCCTGCCAGCCTCCCTGTTCTCCTTAAGTGTGTGTATTTTTAGGTTAAGATTTTCATGGCAAAAGGAACACGTCCAATTTGTTCTATAGAGTGCTAAACAATCATGTTGCTCAAAAAATTCCATAAAAAAAGTTGTCTTGATGTAATTATGAGGTTGAATAATCATGTTCTAGAGATCAGAAAAATCTAACATTAAGGTTGAACAGAACAGTAAAAATGAGGCTGATGACAAAACAAAACTATTTCAAGGCTACATGCAGACTGCCACAGTAAAAAATACGTGCTGGAATTTACTGTAAAATTTCCACTGCAGTCATAGATAAAACAGCAGCCCTGCCAAGTCAATAGGGCTCATGGAAAGGAATATACTGTAAAAAAAGGCAGTATCAGACAGTAGTTTCAGCTGAAGATGTTCTTGGTTCCTGTTTTAACACCTTTCTGGTGTAAGTATAAAATCTGTACAAAAACTTTAGTTCTTTCTACAGAAGGTATTCTTCTGGTATAAGAACTACCTGTGAAAAAACCTCAGCCTAAATGGTGATGGAAACTTGTGCATGAAGATGCACTGTTACCGTACTCACATTCTGCTGTATGTCTGCCACATTTTGCCAAAGTTTAAAAGGCTGACAGTGTGTATTGGTGTTAAAAAGTCTAAGAAACCAAGTTGTAAAGAAAGTTACAGTTAATGAAAAAACTAAATTATGATTATGATATGCATTTTATTCTTTCTTTAGTTATTGGGTTGACTACAGGAAAACTACTTCCGTTCCTCTCAACATCCTATGATGTTCCAAGAATCACAGTACGAGCTCGATTACAATCTTCAGGGCTGCAACAGGACATGATAAATACTGATATAAAACAGTATGTATCATTTCTTTCTTCTTATTTTAGTGCTGGAGTTTTCTATTGGAGTGACTTAAAAGAAGAGGAGGCTTCTAGCACCAGTTTTAATTTATTTTCATACAATTTCTTAGTTTTACTTGAGCATTCCCAAGCATAGACACAAAGTACAAAACCAACCATCCTAAAGTATTTAGAAAATCCACATTCCAGGCCCAATTCTAAGTTCTCACGTTTCTTTTTATTTTTTAAAATAAAATTCTTCTATCTAAAATTTGCAGACTAAATGCAAACCTGCAAGCTAAAAATAAAACAAAAACTCAACAACCAAGTTTAAGATTTCAAATGGAAAAAAGACCTGGTGTCTACAAAGGGAACAGCTACCTGAGCAAACCAGATTCCAGCATCTTTCCTACTATAAAGAAAGAGAAGACAGAATAGCATTTACCTTCTGTTTTGCAAAGCCAGGATCAATCACAAACACAACACCATCTATTGTTAATGATGTCTCAGCAATGTTAGTGGACACAACCACCTGTCAAGAAAACCCAAAAAACCAAACAATTAAATGAAGCTACTGCATTGTGAACATGAAGAGTTCTGATTTTGTCTCTTCACAAACAATTTTCAGCAAACTTTCCTTCACTGCACCAGTAATGACCAGAGCTGCACTTTAACACTTTCACAGGATGATCTGAAATCAACCCAATGAACTTCTAGTGAAAAGAGCAAATTTTGTCCACTCTTTTTGCTCCCCTATGAGTCTATTAACAACATAACAAATGTTAATTTTGAGAAAAAGAAACAGAAGAGCAAAAATTTTACTTATGAAACTGCTATTCAAAATTTTTCTCACTTGTCAGGTACAAAATGACAAATTACACTGGATCCCTTTAACATCATCTGTTAATTGCAGCTTTTTACCTTTTTTGAAAGCCTGAACAGTACAAACTGGTTAAATAATATTAAATCAGAGGTTATATACAGTACCACCACAGTACTTTCTTTTATTTGATTTGCAATAAAGCAGTTATCAATACAATCCAGCTAAAATCCTGAACAATGTGTATTTAATTTTAACTTTGTCTTTTTCTGCCTCCAGATGTTCAAACACTGTTACAGATCTTTAATGTTACATTCTTAAATTTCTATAAACTTTCTGAAGGCTAAGTCTTGTGCAAAAATTAAAGGCGATACCAGAGTTCTGAGGCTTAATTTTGCCACCATTTAAATTTTGTGTCCAGAGATGCAGTGTAACAGTCTATAGATACCATTAGCTCTCATCCCAACAGTAACTACACTGAATCTCATTATTAGCACATTTAATCAGCTATCTCAGAAAAGACCCAAAACTTGTTCGGCACTTCATCAAAACTACTTACCTTTCATGTCTTAATTTCAGAGCATTTTGTCATCGCTGTTTTCAGTTGAGCAATTACAACTGGAGAGGCCCCAAACACTCTGTTCAGTATTACAATGAAGCCAGTGGCTGGACTAGACTGATAATCCCACTGATTTTCCTTCCCACTGGCTGATCATTTTGCCAGTCAGCTACTTATTACACTCAGCTTGTCTCTTCTTAAGTAGACTTAAGGTTTAAGCTTGCCCAAATACTACGACATATTGGAAGCAATACTTTGGTGGAAAAAACACTGTCAATTTGCAATTACGGTGTTTCACCCTGAAACAATGTGCTACTTAGAATTCCTCAAACAAACAAAAAAAATCCTGTACACATTTCATTCTCATGTAACCTGCACATATTACGGAGACAGATAAAGAAATAAAGGCCGCAAACATAAATGCAGTTCAGTGCAAAATTGCAATATATTTTCATAAAAGATTTGCAAGCCATAAATATGCAAATTAAACTGACACTTCCACGTTAAAAGGCCAGTCAATCCACATTCAACTTGCTGTTACAGAATATACCTCATCTAAAAGGTTCCAGGTTTTTCTGTATCTGCTAACGTACAGAACTGTCCATATCCAAAATCTTCAAACACCAATTACAGAGAAGTGACAAAAGATTTTGGTCCTGCTTTTAATCACTGACTTCTATTAGGACACTTCAATACCAAGAACTCAACACTTGTTAGTATGCTTAGTCCAAAAAGGTACAGCAATTTAACTTGTACCTGAATTTACTTAATTTATACTTGAATCATACGAAGTTTCCAAAGGTAGAATGAAAAAAGTTATTTACACAGTGGATTTTGTTCTATGTACAGATATTATTTGTAAATGTAACCGCTTAAAAAAACTAAAATTCATTAATGTAAAAACACAAGGAATTCAAAAAAAAGAAAAAAAAAAAGTGATGAAATTACACCACAACTTTCAAGCCTAAATCCAAGTACAAAGTTACCTGGAAATCAAACAACTGAAATTAGCACTAAACTACATAAAATAATAAATTGTACCTAAATAGCTTTAGCTGCAGTTTTGCAGTTACTGAGACAAATTTAAACACCTTATTTTCAATATTAAAATAGATATAGCATCTACATCTAAAAATACATCTATATTGCATATGTATTAAGCAGCAATGCTTAAGACTGCTGAAACAAACTAGAACAGTTTGAAAAGAAGGGATAAGACAGGGAGCCTTTAACATGGGATAAGAATAGAAACGTTCTTTGTTAAGTCATCTTCATATTCCTCCACAGTATCAATTAAATACTCTGATTAACTGTGAGTTTTTATCTCTAATATTAAGCTTTCTCACAATAATAGCTGCTTTTTCCTAGCCCAAAGAGGAACAAAAAAAAGTGCTAAGTTATCAAGCTGTGTCACTACTAGCTGTTACCATCACGGCTACTGCAAGATGCCACAAAACTTCCAGTATCTTTCCTTTCACAAAGTTAAAGCTCAGGAGACACTGCAAGCACTTCACTTACATTTTTATGACCATCAGAGCCTTTGAAACAATACACACCACCTGCTAGCTCTCTCTTCAGCAGTTCTAAAACCTAAGTTTGACTCCCAGAGGAGACTGGTTTTAAGATACGGAGGCACAGCAACACATGGTTTTTCTTTACAGATCTTGATCACCAAAACCAACTGAAACTAAACCAACATTTTAACAAATTTACAACACAGACACACTTTCACTGATAGCTAGATTTGTTATGAAGATAAAAACTAAAACATGGAAGCCAGAACATTTCAGCCAAAGCAGGCAAAGAGGAAAAGTAAATTCATAGGTCTGAGTCTGCTGCCTATTTATTGTGTCTACAGTTGGTACCCTTTGGGTGTAACAATTTTTCTTGTAGTGAAATAGCTGCTACACCAAGAGTGTCTTCCTCTCAGAGACTGGTACTGGCTCTGACAGTTCAACATAACAAAAGCTACACTCTGCACTTGTTATCCTCTTATGCAGAAAACCAAAAACTGCCTATCTTGAAGGGCACAATTTTAAATATGAATGAAAATTTAATGAAATACACAGCCACCACTTGTTCGTTACTTAAGAGCAATTTCATTCATTCAAGTCATTTACTAATACAATCTTGATGCAGCATTAGTTTCGTGATTTCAGACTGAATGCTTCCTGCAGTCAACTTCAACAGGAAAACGAAGACAATTTCACTAAGTTTATTAAGTGATTTACTCTTCCAGAACACTAGAAAGTTGTCACTAGTATTCTACATGCATTCTATTGCACAAAAAAACCAAACAATCAAGGAAGAAACCCTGCCTAGAGCACCTGGTATGATTCAGCATGCACCTTCAAAATCTTAGCTTTGTGATTGCTGGTTTCATAGAGCATTTGTTTAATTTCAGGAAGCTCTAGTACAACTCCTTCCCAGTGTTCAGTTTTAGCAAAACAACCACATAGCTTCTAATGTGCATTATGTGAGCACTGACATATTAATTTTATGAAGAACATTCACTGTGCCATTTCAAGTTTTTCAGTTTCTCAATCCATTTTGCCCAATGAAAGAACCTCAATTCCTCATTTACTACTACAGAAAACACAAACCTCTAACTTCAACATACTTCTTGTAACTTGCACCTTTCTCAAAAACCTTAAGAAACAGAGAAAACCTGCCCAACTACCTCCCCTGAAGAGAAGTTCCATTTTGTTTAAAAAAAAGAGCACGTCTCAAAATAATTACCTATGGAAAAAATCCCATCCCTCCACATAAATCATATTTCTCACAGGAACATTAATCAAACTGTTACTACAACATCCTGGCCTTATATAGATGGAAGACAGAACTTTGATTTGCACTGAGAAACAAATTCCAAGTTATCTAAAAATTCTAATGTGATAAAAACTTCTACTTGTTGCTGTTCAACTATATCTAAAGCAGTTGAAACTCTTATTTCATTGCCCACACATCTGTGAGCAGATACTTACAGAACAGAATACTGAAACAGCATAGTATTTACCTTTCTTCCTATTGCTCCATTTTGTTTTTTTGGTGGGGGAGGTTCAAATATCCTTTGCTGTTGCTGTGGAGGAAGGGTGGAATACAATGGAATGATTTTGATGTCACCAACTTCAGGACCTAAATCATCAATTTCTCGTTTTATCCTCTTGCAGGCTTCATCAATCTCCTACAAAACAAAAATATTGTTTAAAAGAGAAGTCCATGAAAAAGGAAGTGCATTTTATTTTAGAGTGTCTATGACAATTAGATTAAGTGTACACTGTGAAGAACAATTACAATAACTTCTACTTAAAAAAAATCTTTCAAGGTGCTCACTGAATGTGCAATCAAATTTCCACAATACTTCAAGATGTTTCAGCTTCTATACTCTAATGAACAACCTAATTTGTATTCAACATCCTTTTTCTTTTAGTCATGTTTCCTAATTAAATTTCTACAAATTGTACTAAAATTGAAATCTCTCACCCTGGAATATCAAACTGCACTCATGACCTTTTCAATTTTCACAATCTGAAAAAAATTGATGTGCAAGATATTTAAAATAAGCCAATTAAGCTTTAATGTCACGTATCACTAATGCAATTATGTGGAAGATTTGCTTCATTGTACCTAATGAGAACAAACACCTTTACAGTATAAACATGGATGCTCAAAACCAAACCTCTCAATTCTGCACTTCAGATTTTACTTTAAAATTAACTGAAATCCCATCTAAGCTTAAGAAAAGACAGTGAAATACCCTGAAGATTAAAGATTTTTCATGCCTTTTTTTACCTTAGTATTTTCTAGCCTATTTTCTGCTTACCATCCAGAACAGTTCACCACAGCCCAATCATTTATAACTCCATTTAGTTTTAAAACAACTATATTTAAGCCAGCTAGGTGACCTATAATTATGGCAAGATTTAATGAAAATTGAAGTGCACAGAAATTCAGGTTAATGAATAACACCATTCATTAGCTTCAACTTAAAAATCACAACAGAGCCCCCACTAGTACAACTAAGAGACACAGTGACCAACTGTTGATCTTCCAGCTGAACTACTGATAGGAGAATAAAGTTATCATGACAAGAAGCAATAGTAGGCAAAAGCAAAGAAATGGCTACAACATACTATGAGAAAAGAGGGGAGACCTCCCTTATCACAACTAATTCACTAGCCTGAAGGTGATGTTTAAGACCCTAAAGCAAATACGTGGAAATGGTAATCTAAAGGCTCTGTAAAATTACTGCTTCAAACTGTAATTTGAAAAGCAAAAGCAGTCTCCTTTTTAAAAACCATAAATTCAGACAGATCTGCACCAAATCTGGGTCTTTCACTTATTCTTAAAGAGACATTTAAGTTTTCAACACGACTGCATTGAGTAAGTTTTAGAGCACGGACAATACTTGTTCTGTATTGGTCAGTATATATAATTAACGTAAGCATGGCAAAATGCAGGCTCTTCCTCTCTGGTATCCAAGAGCCCTTTTAAGAGTAAGCCTAATGATTTCTGGCATTGCCTTCCCAATTTGAATGAATTGCAGATATTTACCAAAAACCTTTTCGTTTAAAAGATGCACTTTGCCAACAAATCCAACACATCTTCATAAAAGGCAAGGGGTATACCAGAAACTGAGCTGCAATGTCCATTACTGGTTTACTAACAGAGAATGAATTTCATTATACAGGTGTCAGTACCCAGTGTTCTCCTGATAAACTCCCTTTTTAAGTTCAGCAATAGCCTCCCAGTGAAAAGGGAGTTAAATATTTAATACAAACAAAAATAGAGCACAGACCTTAGTTCCTGGTCTGAGGGTCACTACACTACTTGTGGAATTTGAGCAGATTATACTGTGTAATCGTGAAAGCTGTGATGCTGGACAGGATGCTTCATCTTCAACAGTAATGACTAGAGACTCCAGGACAGGTATATTCTTAAGAGACAGTAAAATATACGCAAGCAGTGATAAATGAAAGCACTACACTCTACAGGACACGTGTGTTCAGAGCCACTGATCATCTGTCAGAAGAGATAAAAGTACTGTTTCTCCCTAGAGTTTCCCAATGTAGTTTCAAAGTATCCCCTAAATCAGGATTCATTAAAATACTTCGACATAGAGATGACAAATACAGCCATTAGTCTCTACAGATTTGCAAGAAGGATGCAAGTCACCAAGAGCCACTGCCACTCATCTAAAGACAGTAAAACAGAATTCTTTAATAGCAGTAGTCTTAATTTTAAAAAAGAAGAATAGTTTCCTTTTATTTACCACTGACATAAACCAGTGTATCTACTTCAGTATATGTACTATCAGTATATTTACTTGGAAGTGGTCACAGCAACAAACCTGTCAGTCCAAGAAACATTTGGACAAGGTTGGCACAGGGTGTGATCCCTGGGGCTGTCCTGTGCAGGGCCAGGAGCTGGACTTTGATGACCCTAGTGGGTCCCTTCCAATTCAGGATATTCTATGAATCTGACTGTAACCAGAACCACCCAGATGATGACCAAAACTGGTATCCCAGAGCACACAGTCTAGAAGGAATATGTGTGGTAAGAATAGTCTGAAAGTGTTAAGGATTCTTTTAGGTGTTAAAGATTTGTTAGGATCACATGAAGACATTTAAATCCAGAGATATGAGACATATAGTTGAAGGTACAATTCTAAATTTAATCCTCTGAAGATTCAGCAAGTCTAATTCAATGGTCCCAACTAACTCAAGTATGAAAAGCTTTTTTTAAAAAAAAGGCAAAACAAAAAAAAAAAGGAACAAAAAAAAAAAATCAAACGAAGAAACCCTCAAAACCCCACCACATACCTTTAAATATCTGCACACTATCTACTCCGAACAAATCCACTACAAAATCCCTTCCTTGAAGAGGGATTATTCCATCAACATGCACAGAAGAGGAAATTTTTCTTCTCAGGTGGAAGAACAGGAAGGTAGAGTGAACATGCCTTGCATTTAGATTATGCCTGAAAAGCTCCTCAAAGTCCTGACTATCCCACTGACTACCTGAGATAGTGGGTACCAGGGTATGGGAAGCAGGAACAGACACAGGATCAAAGAACCCACATTTAGACCCATGACTGACCAGTACATCAGCCCAAAGACCTGTTTCACAGTTAATCAAAGAAAGCAGGCCTAAAATGCACAAAGTGTGAGGCTTAGTTAATACTGAAGATACTCAATTGAACTTGATCCTAGTTCCTCACAAAAAAGATTTCTTAGGACTAATCTTCTCAGTAAAATTGTAGCCAATGAAAATGTCCATCGATGCACTCATTCTAAAAAGAGCTGACTACCACAAGGTAAACAGCAAACAGACCACAAAAAGGGGAAAGGTTACACTGCTAGCTAAAATGCTCATTTATCTCAAGCTGCAAGTGCCACAACACACACATCTATACTTCACAACACCTAGTCATCAGAATTGTCCTGATAGTCTTAAGTACTTTAAAACTTCCAAAAACTTCTTGTTGATCCAATCAAAATAAATGTACAGTATACAGACAATAACTACAATTTAGCTGAAGTGCTATGGAAACTAGAATTAAGCAGCAGTTAAGAACTCCACAATAGCACATTCTGAATACTAACATGGACTTCTCAACATTTTTCCATACCATCAACAGCCTAAGTGATTTTCCTTGGAAAAGCTCCAGAGACAGAAAAAAATCAGCAAAGAGAAAATATTTCTTTTTGTAGATATACTAGTGATCAAGAAGGTAATGGGGTGGTGAATATTTTTCAACCAGGAAAAACAAAGTGATCTCAACATTCAAATGAGAGTCAACGATTTGTATTTTGCGCCTACAGCTAAACTGAAACAGGTTACAAAAGAGAAAAAGCTGGAACCAGGAAAATAATTTTATTAGGTGACTATTATTAAATCAAATTTAAGCTAATTCACATAGTGGTCCTGCCAAAAAAATCATGTCATTAAGAAGACTGGTTCTAGAAAAAAACCTGAGCAGGCTGCTTTGTTTCCAAACAACTGGTGGACAACAGGCAATATTTAGAAAACCCATCCAATTAGGTTGATTCCATTCAGGAGCTCAAGTATCAGAAAGTAATTCCAAGACACCAAAAAGCTTCAGGATTTTAACGTGAACTTCCATTTGTGTGTGAACTTTCCTGATCTCAGCAAGGCCAAAGTCTGGATAGGAATCAGTGCTTAGCAGTGTCTTGTTTAGAAAACAAAGAACAGAGTGTGCAGTTTTCTTCCACTTTATTACAAACAGAACTGCAGCCATCTATATTTTCACATAACAGTAAATAGGTTAATTATGCCTCCTGAATCTGACAGGAATTTTACTCCATCTTAACCTACTTTTCAAAGAAAAGGAAAGCTGATGGCTAATGCCAAAAAAAAACCAAACCAAACCAAAAAAACCAACCAACCAAAAAAACCAAACCCAAAAAACCCCAACAAACTCAACCCTTGGATGAACTAATTTTTATTCCTCTCACTAAAGCTGTGCTTCTGTGCAGCTAAAAACGCAACAGTCTACCAGACCAGAAGGAAATTCTTGAGTTTGAAACCTGTTGACAAAAGAAGTCCTGAACTCTTAGAATGTCAGGATTGCTGCTTATATTCCATTATGACATCCTCCAGATAGGGACAGCAATATACTTGACCATTAGCAGGAATAACAGAAAAAATTACAGGAGCAGTTGCATATATTATTAATTCATCACATCTATAAGAGACAAGTCTGCACTGAAAAAAATACATGATTCTTATTAGTTCCATTGAATGGTAGTAAAAAAACCCTAAACACAAACATAAAAAGAAACTAGAAGGACAAGCAGCAGTGTAGTTCACAGAATCACAGAACGTGAGGTTGGAAGGGACCTCAAGATGATGTGATCCAACCTCTCCTGGGTGTCCTAGGTTTGCCCACAGGGGGTGGAGCTTAGAGCCATGTGGGCATGCCTGGGTTGCTATTCCATACCACCCATGTCATAGCAGGAAAGGGGGAAGGGGGGTATGGTTTCAGGGGAAAGAAAAAGGCAAGTACACCCCAAAGTGCACCATTTTGTTCCCTCTCTTCCTTGGGGAAGCTGCGAGTTGCGGCAATGCTGCCGGCTCTCACCGACCAGTGCTTCGGACTCTGTCCCTCTATCGCCCATTCCTTCCTGTTCCTTGGATAATGCAGCTCCAGGAAGTCAATGC